TTAAATTTATAATTTTTGTTAAAAACATAAAAAGAAGATATTTTAAAAGATATAAAAAAAAGATATCATGACATTTATATTGATGCAATAAATTCAGTAATTATCAATAATTTTAGACATTACTATAATTTACAATTATACGTACGCTAGGAATGAATTTTGATAAATTTGTTAGTAGGTTAGATGCTATATTTTAGAAAGACCTTATTGTTAGTTGAGCATGTTCAATCTTGATGGATCTTTGTATTTATAGACATTGTAAATAAATTATAGGACAGGATAATCTAATTGCGAAGATAATCTATATTGCAGACAAGGGTCGCGGTAAACGAAAACCGGCATGACACGCCGTGGGAATCGTTGTATGTGCAGCACGTAGGCGGACGCCGTCGTCGTCGCCTGATCGTGGCCGATCAGGGCGCACCGGCGCACCGGGTTTTCAGGGAACGCGGGAAGGTTCTCTGGTTGATATTAGCCGAGTGGATCAAGAGCAAGATGCGAGAACTGCATTACTCTCAAGATATAAAGAAGTATCGGTTGCAGTTCGTACAGAAGTCCGATCGATCGAGAACGGTCACGGATTTATCTTTATCATCGTTGTGCAATTTATGAGCGAATCTACTATTTCTGATCATCAGTCACGTCTGATGCAAGATCATTTACCAACGATGAGTGCTCGATGACCGTGGATTTTTTTTGTTTTCTTAAATATCACATATCCGAAATTATTTGACATTAATATATAAAAAACGATGTTTAGATTTGAACGTTTGAAACATTTTTCCTTTATATTGTTAAATTATTAGCAATTTGCTTTTGTATGCATTAATAACAATTGAAAAAATATACATATTTATCTCGATCTATATTTGCGATATCTGTATATAGTCTAAACCAGAACTGAGATTTAGTTGCACATTTCGGCCGATTTTGAGCTTGGTTTCTACCCCTCGCTAACTCGCACGGATTGATGAAGTGAGGAGTAGAAGCCAAACTAAAAATCGACCGAAATGTGCAATTAAATCCTAACTTTCTAAACAGTTGATTTCTCTCAGTTTGAGCACGTACCTTTGGTAAATTATTAATACCAAACGAATTTTGCGAGATCGAATCTGTTGGAAATGATAAAATCCGATCCTTGATGTAATTTTCGATGTCAATGTATGTTTGCTATACACACGAAGACATAGTCTCGAAAATGGTACATATGTTAAAATAACATATGTACCAAAACAATATAAAAATCCAAAGAACGTCTATAAGAACATTTATGAAAGAATGTTCATGAGATTGATAAGGATGGTATCTCTTTTGTCTTAATGATGCTTTTTAGGTGTTTATATTGTTCGGGTTTGATTCGTGCGCGTGTTTTTTTTTAGCTACTTTCTAATATCTTATACGTTCAAAATGGAACAAAAAATATAATCAAACTTTAAAAGAAAAAAATGTAGAAAGTGTTACTGAGGCTGTATTCTAAAATTTATTGCCAGTATCTATATATAAAAATTTGTAGTCACGTGCATTATAGATTTTCAGTACTGGCAATCAATTTTGGAAACATAGCCTAAATAAAACAGATCTTCCATTTTGGACTGAATTATGATCAGGTAAAAACTATCGATGTTAAAAAATCGATGGAATACTGTACCTGGACATTAAATCGAGCTTATATGTGTATATGTATTAAGTCTGGCCTACATTAATTAGATATAGAGATCTATATTTCTTACAAATGAAGTGCCAAAAAGAAAAAAAAGGAAAAAAGAGAATGAATTTCGCTCCTCATTTGTCGATCGATTGCGAAAGTACCGACGTACTTTATTATTTCCAGTACGTGGTATAATATGGTGTAACTCGATGTGTTCGTGTTAATTGTTTAAGAGTTTATCGAGTTCATGTACATCAAGTGCATTGAAATCTAAAATAGATGGATTTATTTATTTAAAGGAGATGAGGAATAAAGAAATTTGAAGCTTTCGCGTATTAGAAGTGACTGTTTATATTCTCTCTGCGCGTGCGCGCGCGTAAAAAGTACAGTTTGTGTGCGTGCGTGTTTGTAAACTTCATTATTTTCTAATTAAAACTACAAATCAGTAAAAACAAATTTACGATTGCCAATAAAAGTGCCGATAATTCTGTCACAAAATTGCCATCATGTATGTCTTATTCTTTTTTCTATGAACTTCATAAAATAATCATTATTATAATATATGTATGAAAATCTGTTGTAAATTTATAAACTTAACTGTGACGAAAAATGATTGTATTTTCAAACGTTGGTTTTTTTCAATATTTGATTAAACAAAATTATTTTAAATAAGGAATCATAAAACAATCTTTGATTTATTCTTTGAACATATTTATTTGTCTATTTAATAATTCGTCCGGCTATAACTATTTGTCTATTTATTTTGAATTTATTTTTTGAGTAGTTTAATAATTATTACTTAATTTGTAATGAGAAAAATATAAAATGAATAATTCTATTGGAACGAAAAGAAATAAATAAATAATTTCGAAAAAATTGTTCATTATTGTTTTATGATGATTTGATTGTCTATATTTCTCTCAAAATTCATAATTAATGTTTTTCTGAATAATATAATAATTTAAAATTACATTTATAATTCAAGATGGATTTGAACCTGACAGAAATGTGCAACAAAGTCTACCCAAGCAGAACAACAAATCATGATAATAATGTCAAAATGACATTAAAATAAATCGAAAATGATTGAAAAATGACTTTTAATGATCATTTTGGAGCCATTTTGACATCATAATGGCTTGTTATTCTGGCTTGGGTATATAACCGCAAGTAATTTAAATAATTACTAACTTTTTAATAAACATACAACATACCTGTGACAATAATTAATTGATAATGAATCTCGAAATAATTGTATACGAGACCATGTAATTATTAGTGTTTTGATAGCCTTTGTTATCATGCGATTATTGCAACGATCAAACAGTTGCTTCGATTCCGTGTGAACGCAGTGATTTATTTGGCGTTGTAGATTTAATCGATATTTAATTCGTTGCAATATAAAAATGAATTGATTCGCATGAAAAGAAAATAACAAATTTATAAATTGAATAATTATGTTAAGAATTAATTTGTTATTTATATTACACAATTTCGAGTTTTTTTTATACTTTATTATTATTTTGTTGTATTTAAAACAAACAGATTTTTTTAGGTAAATTATGATATTTGTCGTTTTATGCAATTTCACGATCTTTCCATTCTACTATTCGCCAATTCTATTTATTGTACATATGTCAATTGTAATGTTAAAACTAGAACTTTGAATGCACTTGTTTATTGCATAAAAACGATATTTTGTCAGAAAAAGATTGTTAAATTATATAAATTTTCTGTCAAATTAATACAAACAAAAATATATGTGTATGTACGTTTATGAATGATATATAATCGAATGTAATTTCGAGCTCTATGGAGCTCTGAATTCCAAAATATGCAGGGTTTAACAAAACATCGCGAAAGGGAGAAAAAGTGTAATGGTAATTATGAGAAAGATACAATTTTTAACTATAATTAAAATTGATTATTATCAAATCAGAAGCAAGTCATATTATATAAGATGTTATTCTTTCTGATTTAATATACACATTGTTAATATTAAATGTAACAAAAAAATTTTCTTTATTAAAAGCA